GGGTAGGAAGAAATTTCTAAAGTGGCTCAATATTCTCTTTACAAAATAGCTTTACCAAATCAAGGCGATAAGCTCCAATCTTGTGATAAGAGGGAAAAGGTAATGACAGCGACCAAGCTGAATCAATTCTCTATAATGTTATTAGCAAAATTTATATAATACTTCAATCTTGTTTTCACCCTAAATTTTAGCTAGCAATACTGTAATTCTATTAAAAAAATCATTAAGTTGATCTAAAAATGTCGCTTTAATTTTTATTATCAATAATTTAGCACTAGAAGGAGACCACATTTTAGTCTCTAAAAGATCAAGTTTCAATTATCCCTCATAGAATGTTCTACAAGACCAAAATGAGCCACAATGCAGGATCAAGAAGTCGTTCTAGAACAAATTTTAATGATATGAGCATCCCCAACAATTTCAAGATTGAAGATGATTCCGTGAAGGTCGAAAACACCTAACTAGTTGCTAGCAAGAGGTCAGTGAATATCTCACCAACGCAATACAACGTATAGAGCAAAATTAAACTACCACCACACACAAGATGGACGCAAAGAACGTGTAGTGGAAATGGAGGTTGAATCTCCTATTCGACGTAGAATGCGAGGCCACATGTCCTAAGGAACTTGCAATTCACGAATGAAGAATACTCTAGAAGAAGAACGAACAACACTAAATGGACGCTATTGTAGAAATGTTGAAATGTTGGAAAGGGATGTAAGTGTCTTGACCAATTGGGATCCACTCGAAAGGACGATCAGCTCGACCTTGACTAAAATAGACCTACTTAAGAACTGGAGAATAGACATAAGCTAGATGAGCTAAAGAAGCGAATAGCCAATTTAGGGGCCAAACAAAAAGGGATGACAGAAAAAGTTCTCTTTCAATTTCTACTCCCCATTCATCAAGGACATACTGGCAGAATCCTTGCTAGAAAAATTAAATTATGAAGGAGAATGTGACCTCATAAGTGAATTCGACAAATACACTTCATGGATTGAGTTTCAAGGGGCCAGTAATGCCATAATGTGTAAGGAATTTCCCCTCATCCTTGTTAATAAATGCCCAAAGATGATTAAGATGATTGTCCTAAATATCCATGAGAAAGAAGAACGATCTGACAATTGCATTCTTGGCCCAATTAATGGGTTATAAAGCTTGAACCTTGCCAAAGGAGCACTTGGTAAGGGTTCAAGGACAAGAGTGCCTTTACAAAAATAGATTTAGCAAATAAATCATGGAGGTCAAAAAAATCTCCGACAATACAGCTCTAATGGCAACCTTGTTGAGATTGAGGCCCAAAATAAGATTTTGGAGGTTCGTCTATGAGGAAGGATTGATAATGTACCACTAGTTCTTGAGCAGAGTCGAAAGCACATAGGTGTAGATAAAGTAGCCTCTGATCAAGAAGAGGAGAAAGTCAAGGTTAGAGGCACCTCTGTTGGAGGAAAGATGGGTTTACTAACTTGGATTGGTTAAGACTTTTAAGAGGACAACACTAATAGGAAGAAGGAAGTGAAAAAGGAAACTTGTATTTCTCAAATTCAAAA